CTTTGTTTTACTAAAATACTTTGTTTTACTATTGTATTTCATTATTGTATTAAAAAGTAAAGATATACTAGATATTACAACGAAATAGCGATATACCAAATTGGCCCTTGATATTAACCGTGTTGATGTGTGATGGTTTTAAATTTTGTATGTTGTAAGTATTATATTTTAGTTTGTGAAGCGTTTACTCCTCCCCCTCAGCAAGACAGTTAGATTGTAGATTAATGATAATAATTGTCAAATGACGTTATATATTATATAACAGTTATAAATGTTCAATAGTTGTAGAGCGATTTTAAGAGCTAGATAGTAGAGGTCCACAGGGGTCCGAAAAAGCCGTACAGGCACTTGGGTCCTTATCCTTGTCACTAATCTCAATTGGATTCGGTTTACACAAAACATGAACATTTAGACGTACACATTGACACGATATTTATTAGAAAGCAAAAAGTATAAAATAATACGTGCGTGTGCGGCTTGAGCCGCGCCGCATAAGAACGGATGCGTGCAGGGGCTGGAGTACGCTTATATGTAGATTAATGAAATGTTGCATTGTAAATATTGAGAATTGACGATATATTATGATCTAATAGTAAATTTTACAAAGCTGGCTTTGGATTTAAGTAAGATTATAATTTATTTAAAAAAAACACGGATAGTTTAAATTTATTTCTATTTGTCGTATAATCATAAACAATTTAATTCTGTTTTCAAGAATGCGCGGCTTTGGCGGCCAGTTATTGACTTATACATTAAATTGAATTTTAAATAGAAATGTGAATATATTAAAATTTAAAACTTTCAAAACGGAGGCTTATAAATATTATTATATTATGATTGTAAAATAAAGGATAAAATTTTAAATTTGTTTCACTAAATTTGTTTCACTACCAAAGTTGCGAAAAGAATTATTTGATGTGCGGCGCGGCCTAGTACTAGTAGTGCATCGCGCTACAAGTTAAAATTTAAATATTGATCCCGGAAGAAATTTTATTATTTATATAATTATAAACGAGTAATACTCGTAAAATATTCGTTTCAAATATTATTCCAAGACCGTCGACGAATCCAACGCGGCGCGCGTTTTGGTAAGTTATAAACCTACAAAATAATTATAATAATAAAAAATTATCACTTGGCGCGCGAGTTATTTTATATTTTATGTACAAATTTTACTAAAATATATTAATATACTATGTTCACACACAGCTTAAGTCATTCCATTATTATATGTTCATTAATCTATGGTTAAGAATACTGGAGCCTGAGGTTTATAGTATAAGCAAATGAAGCTCTGTACGCCTAATAAACAATAAACATACAACAAGTTAAGTAAATGTTAATAGATGAACGTACTGCTTCAATCGAGCGCTATTATATCTTTAAATGATTAAAATCTGATCTAATTCATTGTGTTGAATTTGCTTGGGTCAAGTCATTGCAGTCGAGTTGGCTTGGTCCCTTCCCCTTCTATGCCGTTGTAACACCGTACCAGTGTAATCGATCAAAAGAAACATTGAGGTATCATTATAGTTAAAAGAGAGACTATTCTAATACAGTCATTTTAACATTCCTCTTAGACTTTCATGTTTATAATTGAAAGTAGTATTGTGAAAACACGTGGAATTAAGACCGTAGTAATGAGATAACTCTACTCAACGAATTGGTCAGGTTTATCTGTATATCTATACCGTGGAAGAATATTCAAACAATATACACATAATATAGCAATGGCCAATTGGCTGACTATAAGGTCATGGCCTGAGCAAACAATTTTTTAAAAATAGTCAAGTGATGCTAAAGCAGAGCACAAATAAAATGTGTAATAAGTTAATAGATTAAAAAACTGATTCATGTGATGCATTACGCAGAGCACAGATAAAAAAAATACTGATTCAATGATTAAAATTATAGCTGTGAGTGACAATAAATTACTGTGTCATAAAAAAGGAACGATGTACACGTGATCTGAGATACCAATATCTCAATATCAAAAGGATAGTGTCTAGAAACATTCATAGTCCATGGTGGCAGGTATCAAGTTAAACGAAGTTACACTGACTGGCAATGTATACGATTGCCGTCTCCCTCTCTCACCCAGTGGCGTAACGTTGCCTGTTGGCGCCCCCCTGCCGAAAAAAGCGCCCCCCCCTGTTGGCGCCCCCTCCCCTTTTGGTGCCCCTCCCTAAAATTGAACAAATTAGGTGATTTTAAAGAATACGCCGGTAAAATCTCTAAAAAAGTGTGTATCTAGAGCAAAACGCGCAGTTTTGCTAGTACTTTAGTTAAGTTTTCGAAATTGTCCCACATTCAAACGACGATTTGGCGCCCCCCTAAGACGGCGCCCCCCTGCACAGCGGGGTCAGCAGGGCCTTTCGTTACGCCACTGCTCTCACCCCTGACCGCTATCAGGGTGCTCCTGAGGATTGAGAATCTAATCCTGGTGCGCATGTAACACATAATAGCCGCATAGTCTTCTCCTCTCTTCTGGGATAGTTTTTCAGCGAGTCTCTTGTGGTATCTATACCGTGGATGACCGAATTTTCACTTCTTTTGGCCTTCGTCACTTCCTACCCATTGTATGATATTGTGTGTGTGTGATGTATGACAAGTTTTTCTGATAACCATACCTCACGTCAGATGTACAATTTTTGATGCCATAATGCATCTGATTACGCGAGAACCTCCGGCTTCGTAATAGCACTTATCTAATCATATTTCTCAGATTCGACAGAAAAAAAAACCTGGCACTGCCTGGTAAGTTTTTTACCTCAAGCTCTGTTAGGTTGTTACATTTGCTCAATATTATAAACGACCAGATTGAAGGTTTAAATGTGATTCTAAAAATATGTCCTAACTTTCATTAATGAGCCTGTGGTTAGCTTTTCCACGTCTACACAATTTCGCATTATCTGTTAAATTTCGTCTCAATTCTGGCTTGATCTTGCTTTTTCAGCCTTGTAGGAGACACAACCTAACGTCATGTAAACCTTCTACTTATAAGCTTCAATACTCCAGGTACTCTTATCATCTATGTACAACGTCTTCCCCAGATAACATTAAAAAGGGTATCTCTCTGTTTACCGTACAATTTATATCATCTTGCCATTTCTCCAACCCTAAATATTCCGGTTAGTCAAGATTGTGTTGTAATATTGTTGCACTAAATTCAACCCTCAATTATAAATGTATAAATGCTCTTCCAATGGGATTACTAGTCATACTATAGAACTTAAAAATCTTTTCAAGAATTTGTGATTTAAAATTTGTCCAACTTTCACAATAAAACCATGATATAGCCATGAAGTTGCTTGATTATCCACTTGGTCACCCTAAATTCGTCTGCTATCCTCGTCGTTGGTTCCTTGAAATTCAACAATCAATCTCTGACGTTGACACCCATTCATACAAAAGACTGTCAAAGATTGTGATGGAGATTGCTAGTGTTGCAGAGCATCTTGATGACAAAAGAATCGGTTACCTACTCTCAGTTATATTATGGTCTTCCTACTGCTCAGGTACTGATGCATTTTCTGACTCATTGAAATTTATCTTAAATGAGACATCTTTATTTTCTGCATTTAATTTTAAAACACTGAAGCAATCTGGTTTTGCTGACCTATGTCTGAAGATAAAACCTATCAAACAGTCTAGCTACTATACAGCTAACACCTATCTCCAAGTTGTTATTGATCTTTTGGAAACGTTGGTAAATCACAAGTCTTTGAACATTGATAGAATATTTTCGTGGCGATTTGGATCTCAGGCAAAAGAATTGTACTCTGTGGTTAAGTTATCCAACAAACTGTTCACTGAGAGGAACTATTCTCTCACGTTGAAATATTTGTATGAGTCAATTCAGTCTTGGAAAAATATCCCTGTGTTTAACGAGATTTTGCTTTGGAACATGGCAGTAATTTTGGACATATTGGGTGAAGATGTTCAATGCACAGAAATACTTGAAATCTGTTCAGAAACTTTCAATAAAGAAACCTTTGTTCACCCTGTTTGTTTAGACACTCATAAAAACATGCATGCATCTTCAAAAGCAGTACTTCAGCAATTAGCGATCAGAAACACAGGATTAAACTGTAAAAAGTATTGCAGCTTGTTAGATGAAATGTATTTGAATACATCATATCTTAGCGAACACTATGTCACTATCTGTAGAAGTGATTTAGCTTACATTTCTGATGATTCGATCAGTCAACTACAATTATCAGCAAAACTGCAGTCATTTGATATTGAAAATATCCTGGAAAATGACAGCACTGAGCAGACAAACCCCAGGAGACTGGCAACTTGTTGTGTTCTTTTATCTCAGGCCCACAGTTATCTCCATAAACAAGATCTACACAGAGGTTATGAATACTTTGTGCTATCATACAACCAGTCAACCGACTTAGAATCTGATGGGTTGCCATGGTTTCTCTTGGTTAAAGACCGGTACCTTGCACAGCTCCACAGCTTAGAAGGGTATTTTCTGGTGTTGCAAGGAAAATTTGAGAGCGCTGCCATTTCATACAGTAAGTCTTTTAGTTGTGATGCTCATCTTGTGATGTCACTGTACAACCAATGTTTGCTTCTTCTGAAATTGGGAAAAGTGGACCAGGCTAGGCGAAACTGGAATGATGGTTGTTTGGACGTTGGGTCACATTCAAGTGATCATTGTTTTTCGAAACTAAGTTTGTATTTTAATAGCGATGATCAATAAATAACTTGCCTTAGTTTTATTTATATTTTTTTAATACAATTATGTATTGATTTTAAATTTCATATAGGACATAGGTACGGTGTGTAATTTGGATTGACGATGTTTTGAACAATTGAAATTTGTATACAGTATGAATTAGTATTTAATAACATCAATTCAATTTGAATGAACACACCGATTATTTTAAAATTCTTTCCCAATTTTCTGTCACTTTCTTAATTTCATGAAATAATCTTAATCTAACGTAACAACTAGAGTCTAACAGTCTAACCTATCACATAGGAATAGCAAAAATGTAACGGGTTGGATGGAAAAGAGCAACCACTATCAGCCTGCTGTAGATTACCATACAATGAACGGGTGGCTGGAGTGTGTTAGCAAAGGATCAGGTAAGAGAACTTACGGGAATGTTTTTATTCTCCAGTGATTTATAGGATTGCATAATCTATAATATATAGTAATCGTATTGATTAAAGTGTTATTGTTTAACCTGCTTTTAGTCTGCTGCTATACTAAAGCAGGGTTTAAAATATAAGCGAAAATAACCAGGTAGGATTTGTTTAATCTGTTAGAATATTTTTAGTGGAGCTTTGATAAAATTATATGAGTTCAATTATTCATCTCGGCCTACACCCTGTAATTTGATCTTAATAACTTCGATTCTTTTCCATAAGTTGTGCAGAATTTAAAACATTTTACGAATAGAATAATTGGCTATTTAATAATATAATAATTTCTAAGTTCCTTAGAATGACTCATAAATTGTTCTGCTTTGTTGCTGACCCTACCTCGTAATCTTATGAAATATACCAAAGCCGAGGTTAAGTTACCAAATACCGATCATAATCTTTAAACAGTATTCATAAATATTGAATAGTCTTCATCAATGACGATAACCTCACATACCCACGCATTCTTTCTAATATGGTGCTGCACTGTCGTTGTTCTGGGTACTGTGCAGGTTAAGAAGCCGTGTAAAGTTACTCCCTGGCAAGCTCAGTTGAAAATACTCCTGAGATGTTAAAACATTAATCCCCTTATCAACCCCAGCTCAAGATTTATGCGAGATTGCGAGCCGGACTCATCGCACAAAATTTGTAAATAAATGAGGAAACAGAAAAAGTTTAACTTAAAAGTTGAGGGAATTAGGAACTTAACATGTATTTTATACTCTTAACGTGTATTTTATCACTTGTTTATAGCGTGAAAACTTCGACGTAACGCGCGCGAGATTTTTGCCAGATTTTTGCGAGTTTCGTTTAAATCTCATAGCTAGGCTCACAATATCGTGAGATTCTCCGCGAGATTTCCGCACCCTCTTTCAGCACTACATATTCGGTCGCGCGCTTGCATTTTCATCGCTTTTCAGCGTGTTTATTCACTGTACTGTCTAAGTCTTAAAGGATACTAGTTGTTATAAGATCAAGATTCACAGTGGTTACTATAGTTACCATGGTTACCATTAAAGGAGGTACTATTCCTGGCTATATTCTTTCTCAGAATATACTTGATACTGCCATAGGCATAGTGAATATTTCTTCATTAAAAGTTTGAGAAAGGGTCTCTTCAACTGGAGAACTGACTTATTAATCCTAGCAGGTAATTAACTCTGGATCCTCATCACATTGATTCCATTCTAAATTCTAGCCATAAACAAAACAAACATTACCAGATAACTCCGTTTACAATAATTTGACATGTTCCAGTGTGAACGAGGCCTTCCCCGGACAAATCCTTAAATGCCGGTCTTCTCAGTCTCTTAGTTCTCTAGATGAAGTACGAACAGTATAATCTATCGGATAACGTATATTACAAGGTGCTCTGATGATAATTTTAGTAAAATAATTAATAATTGCCAAAAGAATGACCGCTGACGAGACTCGAACCCGAGTCAACTGCTTGACGAGCGCGCCCTCAACCATCGTGCTACGTGAGGCTTACCATAATTACAATATGTAACATAATATAATTCATGAAAATACGCACGTAAATTTTTCGTTATTTATGGATCCAATAACAGTGACATACTTTTCGCTTACAAAGGGACTCGCGAAATCTTTTTAAATAGAAAATAATTTGTGGGGCAAGAAATCTTGCAGGCTGGAGGGGGGGGGGGGGGGGTGGGGAGTACATTTCGTGAAAATCGCACTTCTAGTGTCAAAATCCAATCTCATCGCACTTTTTTTAGAATCTTGATAGGGGTTATCAACCAATATAATAAAAACCAAACTCCACAACCCTTACCAATCTTAACGTTCAGGTAAAAAGTATTACTACAACACTAGTACTTGCGAGTCTACGTGGGAAGTACCCGCCGAGTTTCTCCGAGCGACTAAAAAGTCAAAACCAGATAAACCTAGAATATCAGAAGCCGAGTTATCATCTGGTTTGTCCGTTTCAGATCTTCTAATCATGCCTTTTAATCCTAGCTATTTTCGCATTAATCACAGTTTTTATGCGATTTAAATCGTGATATAAACTTAAAATGAGATCAAGTTGCAATTTGACCTTTGTATTGTAATCGTAATTTTCCCAAAGCAACTTTACTCTAACCGAAGTTTGATACTCACAAAACCTCGTTTCCAGAGCAAACACCGAAGAAATACAAAGGTGAAGGCCTCCTCCTCACTCCGACCACCAAATCCAACGGAACACACCACATCCGAACCGGGCCCGCTACCCCCATCGTGGCAACAACCCAACTCCGTCACGACAACCACCACGACCTGCTCCGTCATGACAAAGCAGGTGCTGCATCTCGTGCCTCCAGTTCCACCAGCCGCAGACAAAGCCTAAACCACCGTTCAAGCGAAGCAGAGTATGTCAGCTTGCACGAAGCCATCCCCTCTCCCGTTATAAACCGTGAACACAAAACACATTCCAACAATAGTTCACATAACTCCTCGCCTATCCATCACAAGAGAGATATGATGAAATCAGACAGGGCCCTTAACAACAGTTCATCTTCATCTTCCTCTCAAAAACTCAGCAAACTTTTGAGCGCGTCGTTAGATGTTTCCCAGGAGGAAACCCCCGATCAGGAAGACATTATGCGAACTAAATTCCTCGATCCTTCATCTATCAGCTTATTAACGAACCAGCCAGCAGAAATATTAGAGCGACAAAGCAATCAGCTTCATCAGGATGCACGGCGCTTACTAGATGTAGATTTATTGCGAACGATCGCTGATTGTGCCAATTTGCGAGCGGTGCAAAACGTGCAAAGCCTGCGAGTGCTAAATATAGAACATAAGTTGAATATGCTACGAGATCATATCAAATGGCTGGAAGAAGGTAACGATTTTACGTGATAAAACGTTTGTTGTTGTTCCATGTGATAATGTCAGTTTATACGGTGCGAGAGTGAGAGTACTCGTGGCTGTGTTAGAGACCAGGTATTTGGGTTTCATGATCACGTGATCAGAGTTCAGCCCTCATGAGTTTTGGTAGTCAAACGTTCATTTATTACTGATCATGGTCTTTCAATATTTTCAAGCCCATCCCTACATACGTATTTAAAAAAGCTTGACCAACTGCAACCAGAATGACATACAGGTACAAGTTTGCCTAAAAACTATTTTAAACGACGACTCTAGTTCTGGATTGGCATTGTTTGACTACCATAGCTCTTAGTATCTAGGCCTAGGGTCCCAGGTTCCTACCACCCACTTTACCCATCCCCGGCTAAATTGTTCTATAATGATGATAATATAAGTGATCAAATATATTATATATATGATTTCAGAAGCTTTTTAATTGTTGTGTTTTTTGTTTGTACTTGGACATGCCGGCAAGAGTACCGTCGAGCCCGGTCAAGCCCTGAACTTGTCAATTTTATATAATTGCAACGTGTTGTTACAAATACTATTATGACTTTCATTGACTTCCTGTCGGCTGTGATCCATATTTTCTGGAAAGTGAAAGTAAAACTAATGGTAGTTCCCAACTCAAAGTTTCATGAGTTAAATCCCCTGAGGGTTGAACTCGTGGCACTAAAGTTGACTTCCTGGATCTATAAATCGGGCATAGTAGTGAGAATTGAACTATGAAAACGTATTCAAGATGACTTATTAAATTGTATCAACAATTTTTCTTTATTGATCTAATAGAATAAAATTGTATTCTCTTATTAATAAATTCAAACCACCACTCCATGTCTCTATGATTATTTACATAACTAATTAATTAATTAATCTACAACTATTAATTAGGGAAGATGGCGTTAAGAACGCAGTTTCAGAACAGTAATGAGATCGGTGTATTCGTGAAGCTGACCAACAGCTACTGCCTCGTTCCTGTTGCTGAATGTGAAGCTTTCTACAGTGTGTTCGAGGGAGAACTATCAGATTTCATCAAGGTGAGTGGTATACAATATACATGTGTGTACTGGTTGTTATTCGATCTAGCATGTTTTTTGTAAGTTTTGAATCGTTATAAGTCGTTCTTTAATTTTTACCGTAGGATCGCTGATCTTTATATTAGGGGGAATGGAACTTGTCACCCCAGGGAAACATTGCAATATATCGACTCTGTAACATCGCTTCTTCAATGAATTTACTTATTAAGTTATTAGCGTATGTGAAAGTAATATAAAACTATTTAAAATGGAATTGTACCGAGACATTTAACATTATCGTTGAAATTCCATTGGATCATAAAGAGGTCATAATATCACTCATGGTTCGGCATCATGTTACATTCCACAGTGGTCCAGAATCATGGGGCCTATTGTTGGCTGAGAAGTGAGATCATATTAATCAAGGAAAACTTCAATAATGAATAATTATGCCTTTTTCAGGGTGTAAAAAGTAATACAAAGCATGATCAAATAGCGCATAATTTAAATATCGAAATCTTTTGAGCAATCCTTGCTTGATCGATATTATTGAATATTACCTAAATGTCTGAGCGGAGTGTTTAAAGAATCTGGGGAATCCAACACTGCACTGGTTATTTCTAATTAATTATCACTAATTAATAAGCTAATTACCCAAAACACCAGGTGATCCACACTACGATAGGCGGGTGCCGGGTAATAGGTACCCTGTGTGTGGGAAACAAGAACGGTCTCCTTGTCCCCAATTCTACAACAGATAAGGAACTCCAACATCTCCGGAACAGTTTACCTGACTCTGTTAAAATAGGTAATTTTGATTTTTTCCGCCGCGAGAAGCAGTTCACCTGAACTAGTTACAATAGGTTATTTTGTGGTTTTGGACTACTCTGAATTTTCTGGAAGGATGTTAATTGTTAGTGTGCATAGGAGCAAATAATGTTGAAATTTTGGCTCTTAACTTCCCGAAATTGTTTTTCTGTGTTCCCATCGACATTCTTGTTAGAAACTTGAAATGTTTGGTTACATATAATAATATTATGTGACATATAATAATATTATGTGATAATGCTATGCCATACGACTGAAAATGTAAAAAAACCTTAAACTGAAAATGTAGATAGGATACAAGTCGTAGCAGAACATTATCAGAGTCAATCATGACAGTAAAAGATGGGAGGACGGAAAGCTATAAGCGTGACAAAATTTCATAGGCATAGCCTAAATTTTAAACTAATTACAACACTACAAATCTATTACATTTATTGAGTATTATGTATCGTGATGGAAATATTTTAAGCGGGTAATATCCTGTCCAAACCCAGGATACATAACATGAAGAAATTGTTGTAACTTGTATGAAAAGCATTAATACAGCTCGCCGGAGATGAATTTTGCTCGAGCAAAAGCAAAGCCCAAAATATTTTTGATATTTTGCTTTGAGTTCTTAACTGTCTGTCATGGCCTATTTTGGGTGTCATTTGCAGAGGTGCCTGAGTATTCGTCAAAATGTGAGAATTTTAACACCAATTCAGGGTTCCCAGTGTCACCTAGTGTAGGAAGTGGCTAAGGATCCATTGGATCTATGCAAAGTTACACATCTGTGTAATGTTTCGGTCGACTCGACCGAATGATCGGAAACATGATTGAGGGTTAAATGAGGATGGCCCCTGCCAAAAGATCGAGAATCTTCTTAGGATACCCCTTGAGTACATCTACAGTAGTGTACTTAACATAGTACTATACTAGATACTAAAACATGTTGAGATATGTTTTAGTACAAACGTTGATATGATTCAATTTCGCTATCAAAATGTTTTGGAGGATATCGTCAAAACTCGACGTGCATTTGGGGATAGATTCATTCTGGAAATTTGTATTTCGTATTTCGGCGGACGAATTTATTTTCGTCGGTCATCTGAAAATTTCGACTCTCTTGTCAATTTCCCAAATTTTTTTGTACAGTACCCCACAATTTATGATGCTAACATGGTAGCATTACATCCGGATGCATTAGCATCCGGATAACTTAACTGTACCATTAAAAGGTTAAAGCAATGAGTGTAACGTTTCTACGACACTCTATAAATATATCTCACCTGAGCAATATACACACTCACCTAGAAGAGCTTCAAAACATGTCACGTCAACAACTCTCAGGTCTCTCATTCTTCACAGCTGACGTCACAGCACTGTACACAAACATCAACATCAGTGGCTGCATTCAAGACCTCATTACACTCACCGAAGAACATTGGGAAGACCTCGACACCTGGGGTCTAACACTCACGCACATCCACAAGATCCTTGAATTCGTCTTCACCAACTCATACATATCACTCAAGACTCTACCTCCAGAAAATTGGTCTCTTCATGGGGTGCCAACCATCACCAATAGGAGCGATAGTACGAGTATATATGTTCGAGAGAAGATCGACTTACACTGATTTACACGTCTCATTCTACCGGAGATACGTGGATGATGCCGGGAGTCTAGCCAGCTCCAAAGAAGAAGCTATGAGCAGTGAAAGCAGTATTAATGACATTCTCACTTTTCAGAACTAAGTGCCTAATATAATTAAGATATAACATCTAAACAGTTTTATTCCTGTTCCATATGATCGAGGATAGTCAGGGCTACAAAACCTGACCAAGTTTAGCTCAATCCAGTACTGCGCGTTCGAGATATGAGGTTAAATATACCAAAAATAGGGGTTTTCTGGTGTGACATCATTGTAAATTTTTAGGAGTATAACCTCAATATCTCACAAACTATCCATTTTTGGTCTTTCTGAGTTACACTATCTGTTTCCTCTGGCAATTTCGGTTCAGGTTCAATTAAGTTTGAAACAAAATCTCAGTAAATGTGAAAGTTCTGAGGATGTCAAGTTTGTAACAAGCGCGTGCGCGCGCGCGCGCGCGCGCGCGCACACACATATGACCTCATATCTTCCACATTTAATGATTTTTCATGGAAATTCTTTCACCATCCTGTAGCACTCATGTGCTGAGTAGGATAGCATTCTAATCATGTCTTTAAAAGCTTTAGATAGATACTGAGGGAGAAAATTCATGCTTGTAACAAGCGCGCGCGCGCGCGCGCGCATGGCCCAGACTAAATGATCAATGGACGGGAGGATTAAAGTACTTTCATACACACCAGCATGCTCATTGATGGCTTAAAATGAAGCTAAGACATACTCCTATCAGATCTACCATAAGTTAGATACCATAATAATCATTAAATGTGTCTAAAATGAGGAAGCTTTGACAAGTGCGAGTGGTTTTGGCAAATTTTGGTATAAAATGGGCCCTGAGATCATATTTTTCTCATTAAAATCACATATATCACGAATATTTATGTGTGTTGGGTGTATCCTCATTGGTATCAACCATTTCAATCATCTAGAGCAGCTTTCCTGATTCTTTATCTCATGAAAATGGGCAAAAAAGCTCATAAATAGTCCAAAACCGGTCATTTTCGCCGCTTTAATAACCTCATTCCTGGCACCCAGAACACTTTGGGTACTCAAAACATGATTTTTCGGATACCTCAGGCCCCTAACTAGCACATGGAGCCAGAAAGAACAGTATGTAGAGACTTTTAAATTTCCATGGTTGAGAACCCAATGTCACACTATTCGTTCATTAATCCTGCTTTCACTGTGAGGATAGTGGAGTCCATCTCAAACGAGGACCCAGACCAGTTGCTCAAATGGGAAATTGACTATCCGGAAAGCCGTCAAGATTTCACCCCATTCCTCGACACCCAGATAAAGATCGACGAACAGGGAACACTACACCACAAATTCTACAGAAAGAAGCAGAAAAAGAATATCACACTGCACGCCAACAGCCACCACAATGAGGGAACTAAAGTAGCAACCATCAAGAACTTCTACAAAACGGCTGCTTTTTGCTCATCAACACCAGAGTATAAAGAAGAGTCCATGAAGATAGTAGACAACTTGTTGGTCAACAACGGTTACCAAGACCCACGACGTATAAACAAAACAGGACGACTTCACCCTCTCTCACCTACAACACGTCATAACCCTTCATCATCAAACATACAAGATACCGACCACGTAACATGCACTCTACCATTCATCAACGAGCCATTTTCCAAAGAAGTCACTCAATTTGCCCTCTCACACAACTTACCGGTCAAATTCATATTCACACCAGGTAAGAAACTCTCAGAGATCTTATGTTCATCACGACCACACGACAAACCACACTGCACCATACCAAACTGTATCATATGTCCACTCATCACGACAAATCACGACTGCAAACCAAAATGTGTCATATACAAAGTTACGTGTAAATTATGTCAAGAGCTATATATAGGGGAAACGAGTAGAACAGCACACGATAGATTTTCAGAGCATCGAAGAGCAGTCAACAGGCCTTTAACCTATCCTGATAATGCGTTGGCTGCTCATTATTCAGAGTTTCACGATAACATAGAACCAGATATTTCCTTCGATATTTTAGAAATTAACTTATATAGCACCATTAAACGTAAAGTGACAGAAGCTTACTACATTAATTTATTTAAACCTAGTATCAATAACAAAGAAGAGTGCGAGAAGCTTAAGGGATTTCTTTTACAACATATTCAAAGACAAATTTAAACAAATAGCACACGACCCTGCTGTTCAGTAGATATTATGTACTTGGACAGAGTGTAAAACGTGTGTACATCACTATTTTCAATGTAATGTATAATACCATTTGATGTAACCTGTATTCAGTGTGTGTAATTTTAATTTAGCATTTTAACTAGTATAGAAGCATTTATTATATACTAACATTTATAACAATTTTAGCCTGAAGATGGCGTTGACGCCGAAAATTTGCCCTTACTCCTAACTTCCTTGTTTCACTTGTCCTTGTCTCTTCCAACCGGATAATATCCAGATATCAATATCACTTACTTTACACAATAAAATATCATTCATTATCTCTCTAATATTTGGAATATTTGCCATGTATATCACCTCGTACGTTATTAACATTAACGTTTCCCTGTAGCACGTGTTGAAGAACGGTTATCAGCGCTAGGTAACGTTATTTCTTGTAACGACTACGTTGCTTTGGTACACCCTGATCTGGATAGAGAGACGGAGGAGGTTCTTGCAGATACTCTTCGTAAGTTGAAACACTGTTCTTATTATCGATTGTGATAAATTAAAGGAAAGATAATGACATCATCAATTTTTAATCATCTTGTTTTTGTAAAAATTCATAAATTAGGATAAAATGGAAGGTTCAAAGACCTAATAAAAATGTAATTAATTATGCTTTCCACTACTATATGAGTTAGTAAAACGTATAGCAGTGGAATTAAACCTAAGATATTCATTATTAAGATTGTTAAACGTTGATGGGGGTTTATATTAATATTTGGCGTTTTTCCGAAATCTTAGACCATCAATTCCGCTTAGTTTTGCAACATAAGAAACTAAAGTGCCAATGTGATCTTCCTTGTATACCTTGTGTACCACTTGTTGGTTTTTGGTCTTAACTTCTAATATAATTCTCATAATTCGAATTTCAAGTATTTGCCTTGTTTTCCAAATTAGAATCTGTTGTTTTTGTAGAGAAAAATCTACAGTGCATCAAGCAATAGTCATGATTCCGTTTGGAAACTTTTTCTACAATTATAATCTCCTTCAGAAGTGGAAGTATTCAGACAGACATTAGCTGAACAAGTGTTAGTTGGTTCTTATTCTTGTCTCACTAACCAGGGAGGCATGGTTCATCCTAAGACTCCGGTTTGTCCTTTAAATCCCTTCAAAGATTGTGAAAATTTGCGGATGATAAATGATAATGGTATTTTATGTGAATTTTATAGAAAAAATTGTTTTTATCTTCTGAAAATGTTAAATGATAGCGCATGAAAGTGATAACAACGTCCTTCAGATTGAAGATCAAGATGAACTCTCATCACTATTACAATTACCCCTTGTGGCAGGTACAGTGAACAGAGGCTCAGGGGCCGTGGGGGCCGGAATGGTCGTCAATGATTGGATATCATTTTGTGGTCGGGACACTACAGCCACAGAGATCAGTCTTATTGAAAGCATATTTAAACTTTCAGATAAGGGACACAATAATATCAATCAAATGAGGAGTGTTTTAGTTGAAAGTATGACCTCGTAGCCGCCATGATCATTTTAAATTATTTATCACGGGTTCTGTTTTTATACTTTTAACGACAAAGAATCTATTTTTAAGATGTGATATGTTTTTAGAAGTTCGGAAATGTTTCAGGGATGCTTAATTTATTTATTATTATATTATAAAATAGGAGAAAATGCTGTTATGACTGTAGATGTAGATGGCCACATCGTACACTGTTGGCTGCTCTCGAGCATTGCGCGGCACGCAAACCACGATCTGTCAGCATTCTAATATGCTCAATGCCTTACAAAAGAAGCCGTCTTCAGCATTTCAAGAGCTTTTCGCGCGCGCACTGTTTTCTTGTAGATATCCTGGATGATGGTACTTTTCTGGAATCAAGGGTGATGTTTGTTACCTTGACCGTCAAGTACATAATCAGAATTATATGATAACTCAGTCGTGCTTCTGTATCTGATAAGATAGGCAGCTGTGAAGCTTGTGATCTTTTAATAGTGCCGACACTTGCTACACTTTCATTGGAGAACCACTTAAACAAGATAAATAGGAGATTTTTGTCTCAAGGTTGCTCCATACGCTGGTCTATACCCTGTTCCATAGGCCACTGTAGTGCGAGCACAGCCTGTAACCTCTAACTGTTGCTACACTGTAACCTCTAACTGTTGCTACACTGTAACCTCTAACTGTTGCTATACTGTATTTGCGTAGGAGTGGATAGAAATTATAGCTGGGCACATTTCACCTAATATAGTCTTATTTGAAACTGTTTCTTTTGTCCCAGAGGTATGCAATCATAAAAGGGTTACATTGAGGTGCAATGACTGTTGGAGTTCCGAATGCTCTGTAAAAAAGCGTTTATTATCTGGTCCTACTGTCGGCAGGCTTGAAGAAAGTGTCTGTAATTCGGGTCTACTAAGCTAGGTCTGAGATTTATCTATTAGTCATCGACAGGGGTTGTTCGTACTGCAGAACAGTTCGAATTAATGGTTCAGAGATGACCTTCATACACCCATCGCTTTATACCTCAAAATAAAACATTAATCGCCAAAGCAATTAAAATGCTTATCGTAGCCCTGTCTTTTAGATGTTCATCATCATCGCCACATAAATAGCTGAGATGGTATTCAGCTCAATAGATTTAGTTTCTGCGGGGGAACTTACAGGTTCGTTTGGATGTAGTCTAAGCTATTATTACTGGGCGGCGCTCAGCCTGTCATTCCGCCGAATCTCTGTTATGTTCATGAACATAATAGCTATAGCCTGGGGTCCCCAGTTAAGCTATTATAGCCATCATTCTCCTTCGACACTAAATGTTTATACCGATATGCACACAGCTCGGTAATACAGTGTGTCCGAACTATATTGGTTGAGAACATGACATTGAGAATGCAACTGTTTGCGCAAGAAGTTATGTCTCAAAATCTTATATTATTGAAGAAATATCCAGATTTAGGTCACTGTAGTGTTCACTCTATTCCTGTGTCTCCATGCTAACTCGTCTGCAAGATGATGGCAATCTCCTTTTTATAATCTTAACTATTGTGCATTGATAAGTTATTTATGCCAATTTGTTTTACTGAAACGTTTCTTTACCTTCGTACTATGAGTATACCTTCAGATAGTTTTATCGAAAAAAATACTACTATGATTCGTGTCAAGACAACAAATTGGCCGAAACTGACGCTCACATAAGTTTTACACAATAGGTCATAGGAGTGAGAACTTTAAAATTCAATGAGATACGTCTTGGTTAAAATAATGTGCGTTATTGCTATTCTTAGTTTATGGTGAAGTCAGTATAAATATGAACAAATGGATTTAACCGGCCACCGGAGTTCAATTTCAAGTAAATGGGTACAGTTTTTAACAGAATCTGGCACGAGACAGTTATTTTTCCTAAGATTTTGTTCTTGAAAGGAGAAATTTGACATCTCGAGCGGGAATACTGAATACATAACTCGTTCTAACCTCAAACCTTTGATCAAGTATGCTAGTTTTTGTCCCGTCGACAAAGATCAGAATTATTATATATATTAAACTAACTTAATTGCGCGCGCAACAGCTATTGCGCGAACTTTTTCGCGCCTTCCAAAACATACTCCCATAACTGTGACTGGTAACAAAGGGCACAATTTATGGAAACTAGTTTCTCCGAACTACTATTCCAGTGAATCATCGTCAATCGTGGCGTTTTCAACCTTTAAAGGTAAACTTATCGAAACCTAAAAATTAATAAGATTGAATCCGTACACGATCAAACTCATTCCTATCCGTTAAATTCCCGTCATTCCGATCAAATTCGACTGGCACTGGCCCGCACAAGTTAAAAGTATCCTCCAAATGGTGAACTTAGGTTTCCGCATTCCTTTGAAGCAGACAGGGGTGAGGGCTAACAGAGAGAAATGAAAAGCTTGAGTCGTACAGAGAAAATAGAAAAGATACAAAATTCAGTCTTCAGTTACATTGCTCAATTAATATCACTTCAATGACACGCAAGGAATATGCACTTTGATATACCAGAAAATAATTAAATTTACGCCACTAAAAAGTAATTTAAGGTGAAATAAAAGACAATCAATTAACACCGATATACTAAGACTTATCTCAAAGAAAGCCGAATTCCTAGATTTCAACTATAGCTAAAGGAAGGACCAGAGAGCAAGTAACTAGTTTTCAAAACAGTCAGGACTGACTAAACTCCAGAGAATAAATTAATAAAAATGAATAGCTTCATCAGCGTGTTTTCATGGCTAAAGACATAAAATCTGTAAAATGTCTACAATCGTCATAATATGATAGGCAGAGTTTACTATGTAAACTATTATTGCGATTTAGCAGATATCAATATGGTAAAAGATTTAAACCTCGACATTGATCATCATTCATTATACATTAAAACGGAAGATATACATACATCACTGAATCGGGGTAACGAATATTTATTTGCTTGTTTAAGGTTGAGGAATATTATTTTCAGTAATGTATCATATCGAGTGCTCAAACTCACATTTTCTTCAAATTTTTGGGCGGAACTAGACGACTTGTGGCCAATAAACCTAAAATTATCTTCCGTTTATGCTTTCAAAATTTTCAAAGATGAAGTAATCACTCATCAAAGGAAGAAATGTTATGCTGCGCTTTTCAAAGATGAAGTAATCACCCATCAAAGGAAGAAATGTAACACTGCGCTTGGAGCAAACAGTTTATGATGCTTGGTTGCCCTTGACCTAGACGAAACCAATAACAATCTGCTTGTTTGACGCGACAATTCTAGAGATAAGGTGATAAAGATAAGATAAGAATTAGTCTTAATTAATAACAGTTGAATTTTGCACCAGGCAGAAATAGACTAAGCCTCATAAGAACATTATGATTTTGTTATCGACTAATTTGGGTGTCAAAACTTATCAGTTTATTGAACCAACCATGGTGACGTTAACCTCGAGTGGTAGACAGAAAATGGTTTACAATTTCAAAATTGGACATGTTCAGGTGTAAATTTGGGAAAAAAAGATTTCTGCGGATTTTTGTAGTTTCCGATTAGGGTTGATTTGAAAACCTGTATCATGAGTTTGAGTACTAACATCTAAACTGAAAAAATAACGGAAATATATTCTGTTTAAAATAATTTACATCTAAACCAATTAAAAAACCCAAAGAACTGACAACAGTTCATTGATTTTAGGGTCTAAAATTATCAAAATTTTGTGAAAATCGGCTGATTTCGTTGAATATATATTTCTTTCATCTCTTAGAAACTCAAACTGTTTAGAATGCTGTTACCAATCTGAATTCTCCCAAATATTCATGTACCAATCTAAAGATGTGCTTCAAATAAATGTAAGCAAGGAGATTGAAAGGGTGAGATTTCCTCTCAAATTAACCCAGGACTGGTTTTGCAATTCAGTTTCCATTCACAAGAATCTCATACGCGTACGTTTATATTTGTCTTGTTAGTTTCTATATCCCTCGCTCCATTAAAAATATGTCAAATTATCACAAATATGCCTAAAAAGCTGAAATGTAGGGGTTTGTTAGGTTAAAAGGAAAAAGAAAACATAGTAATCGCGTTAAAATGGAATTATTCCTTTAAATTCCAGAGGTGTGATCTAAAGATCTAAAGAAAAATGAAAATAATTTAACTAGTATTCTAGCCATAAAGGTGGAGCCAACAAGAAATCATTTAACTTTAAACTAAGAAATCGTTTGACATGTCTAGAAATGTTAACTCAAAGGACAAAGTCAGATAATTTTGAAAAGTTTGATCAAATAAACCTGACTCTGTATTGACCGCTGACTTCACCTTATGGTTCCATTAAAGTCCCTTACAAGGCCTCATAAACCTTTTTATTGTAATCCCTAACAGCTGAAATCATAACGCGTAACATTACATTCAAACGGAAACAATCACAAATGTACACATATGATGAGCAGCCATATTGCATCGAAATAACTGAGCTGATAAATTTGGTCCACGATTTTTCGTGACTTGATTTTGATATTTACTTCTATAGCTATATAATATAATGTTGCATGCAAACTCATCTCACATTAAAGAACTTAAACCTATGTTTAAAAATTGAGTTCTTTTCATATGGTAAATATAATACAAGATTTTTTTCACATGAATGGAGGTCTATCTGGCGGCCTTGGGGTCGTGGGCGTGAACCAGCCTAAGATTGTCTGAACCATAATTGTTAATGACCATCGCGTTTAACCATTTTTGTTTTTACATCTTGATATAGGACAGATTTGATCGATTCGATCTGTAAGATTGTGTGTTGCAGTGTTGAGGGATCTCGTGATGGATCAGGCGGAGAGAAAGAGAAAGTGATGTGATCACTGTGCTACTGCTGGATCAGATGTCGTTTTGAGTCATGTCGAACTCGTAAACAATATTGGGATCGTCCTCCTGAAAATGGTAGCTGATTAAATGAGTGGTTAATGAGTGGTTAATGACTAAGTTTTACTGAAGTTTAGGGTCGAAAGAAACCTTTATTTAGTTATGAATCGCTTAATTAAGAGTTCGACCATCGTTATTTGAATGGTCTTTAACTTTAATAGATGAAACTTTACCAATGCGATTAATTAAGGAGGATTTTAAATTATTTTTACCGAGTTGATGCAATACAAATTTGACTCTCTAAGTCTAGATCCTAAAATACTAAATAAGTAGAACCTTAGCCAACTTTTCTAGAAAATGACTATACAACAACGTGTCCATCTCACAGAGTGTACACTGTACGTGACCCCCCAATATTGAGGTCGCCCTAAACGAACAACCCCACTACACAGGTGTGTCAGTGCACTTAATGAGGACCAAACGTGACCGTTAATTGCAGTTGCCGCATCTGAAGTAGCAAGGTGGCGCCTCAGGCTCGCCGGAAAATGACGCAGCCTTTGTAATGCGATTCGAACCTTCAGACCCTTGTAGCTATTGCAAAACTTTTAAGGCACCAATGGTGTATTATATCATGACTAGTGTAACCCGGCCTACGGCCGGGATTTCACTGCCGCAGTTAAAAAGGGTAGGAGTAATTACCCGCTGAGTCAAAACCCGCATTAGGTGACCCAATAGTTTCTTAAACAATAATCTCATAATCAGTTATTTCTTGTGGATAATTAAGTCATTATTAGCCATGAGGCACCACACTCCATGATCATAAGGTCTGAACACCGAGTATTACACCTCATCACTCCCGTCTTGAACCGCTTTCTATTTTTATTTAAATCGTTATAGAAATTAACCCTTGTTAACTCCGCACCACACCCGCATATTATATTTGAAAACACGCATAACATTGTCGTATGAACTCTCTCTCTCTCTCTCTCTCTCTGCAGTCCAAACAGACCCCAAACACTAACAGTCCCCCCTCCCCTAATAAGCTTAAGGTATAACATTACAGCGAATCTTCCAGGCTAATCCAATTATGACGCTACTTAAATGCAGCTATAACATATTACACAGTAATGAGAGAGAGAGAGCAAGCCCCGTAACTCTTGCCGTTCTGCTCACGCAATTTTATGTAACATTTGTGGTACAAAACCATCAATTAAACCACTTACCATTGGCCGATTTTAAAAAAAATTTCCTATGGGCTTCATCAGAGTTTTGTCGACACTATACCGAAAAAATCAGTCCCGTAACTCTTACCGTTTTTTTTGTATAACCGACCGGAAATTACACACGGACAGACAGACAGACAGACAGACAGACACACACACACACACACATTCTGGTGTTATTAAGGTGATTCTGATTAAGTTCATGATGGTAATTGGTAATTAGGAAAGTTTGTAAGTAAGGCACAATTTGACTTCGACAGATTGTCGCGGAAAGTTTTTAAGGAAGGCATGGAATATTTTAATCAGATTGATGGTAACCAGTAATTCAAAATTTCTTCTTGCAGTGGAGAGATCAGCGACTTTCCAGCCCGGGCTAGAACTTGTGGGCGGTCGTTCACATATTACGCAATCACTTTTCCTCACCATAATTGGTGGCCTAACAATTTCCTCGCAGTGTAACAGGTCCTAGTGCCCAAATACCCTTGTGTGTGAGATAGGCATCATCGGACAAGTGATTTTGAAGCCCTATAATATGATTTCCTAGATTATTTCCCTAATTTCTATTCGTGTAACCAAACTCTTCACCCTTAATGAAACAGGAGTATAGCAAAACAATTATATTTGCCTTAAAACAAATTTATTGGGTGTGGTTCTATTGACCAGAGACCCGTGTCTTCTCTAAGCTACAAAAGATTGTAGCTAAAGGCTTTAAAAGCTTATTGGACACACAGTTATATCAGTATTCAATGGGCTTGATTCTTTGTTTGTAGATTGCCGACACACATTCTGTGCAGAATAAAGAGGTAGATACACACAAGTTCATGAAGTGTGTTCGTGTTAATTTTTAAGTTTCAAGAATTTTCACAGATCCTATGTTATGAAATTATAGGCGTCAAGCGAAGCTATCAGAATAAGCAATTACTATGGGGGAAGTACGTAATACGTAATTAGTAATTAATTAGTAATTAATTAGTACGTACCGTTTGCATATGAAAAGCGTCCAGTGGATCTATTGGAGCCATGTAGGATGGATTTATGTAATCTCTTATTTTCTGGAATACAACCTTCGCCAGCCCTGGCCACCTCCTGTAATAAAAATTATAGTGTAATATATTATATTAACTAGAGTTTATAATAATTTAGCGTTTACTCGTTTGAATAGATGATAGGTAAACTTAAAATCTATTGAAATGAAATGAGGTATTTATATCCCGCTCATATGATTAACCAACAACACAAGGAAGGTGGTTAACCATGTCAGAGCGGCTGACTGTGAGTGATGTGAACAAATGTGTAAAAATGAACAAGAGTATAACTCACTAGTCAATATAAGGCTAAGACAAAATTAAGCAGAGACCATACAACAATTAACAATTAAATTGTACTTAAGTTTGATTTTGATCTATAATACTACAAATAATAAATAATAATAAATAAATTCTAACATTTATTACACGCTTCGACATTAAAATATACCCAACAAAGATGTACATTAAAGTCATTCAAGCGAGACTTAGTGTTGAAATAGCAAGATTATGGACTTTTTAAACAGTTCAGATTTTATGAACAAATATTTGTATGAAGTTACCAAAATTATGCACTTTCATATCAGTTCAGACATTATGGACAAATATTAGAAATATTATCAAAAGCTAGTTGGAAATAAAACGTCTTTAGGGCATTTTTAAAACATTCTACAGATGATAATGATCTCACTGAGTAGGGTAGTTCATTCCAAATTTTTGGTCCACAAAACATAAATGCAGCATCTGTTCGTCTGAAATGAGGAGCAGGAGGAACTTTCAACAAATAAAAGTCATCATCTAGTCTGGAACTTCGTCTTCGTACTTCCCTTAGATTGACGTGTCCTTGTAAGTACTGAGGGGCTATGTTATTAAGACACTTGAAGACCAGAAGTGATATTTTGAACTTAATTCTGAACCGAACAGGCAGAAAGTGGAGCTTTTTGAGGTAAGGCATGATAGGTTCACGTATCTTTTTTCCGTAAAGACCAAAGATAAATCTAGCAGCATTGTTCTGTATCTTTTGTAGCTTATGGAGATTCTTTTCTGTTATACCATAATAGACTGAGTTGCAGTAGTCTATGAAACAGAGGATATTGGAGTGAACTAACTGAACTTTTAGGTCATGGGAAAGCTTCGAACCGATTCTTGCTAAGTCCCTTTGATTCAAATAACATACTTTGGAGACAGCATTTATTTGAGAGTCCAGATTCATTTGGTGATCGAAAAGGAATCCCAGGTTCTTGGCCTTGCTAACAGGGCAGATTGAGAGGTCTCCTAAATCCATTGTCTGGATTGGGCTGACATATGGACCTATATCAATGAACTCTGTTTTTTCATCATTCAGTTTTAGGAAGTTAACTGTCATCCATTGCTTTATCTCCAGAAAGCAATTTTTCACAGCTGTTAAATCAGGATTAGAACTGTGAACATCAAAAGTAAAGTACACCTGTGTGTCATCTGCATACAAATGTATCGAGAAACCATATTTTGTGACAATTTCTTCAAGATCTCTGGTATACAATATGAACAGTAGTGGTCCTAAAATGGATCCTTGAGGTACACCAATATCCAGATAGCCTTCAGAAGATGTGGCTTTTTTTACTTTAACCTTGAATGTGCGATTATTAAGGTAACATTGTAACCAGCTGAGTGCTAGTTCTGTAATACCATACGCATTCTTGAGTTTCGTAAGAAGGAGGTTATGGTTTATGGTGTCGAAAGCAGCTGATAGATCTAAGAGTAGAAGCACAACATTCGATTTGCTGTCAATCATCATTAGAATATCATTATGTATTTTGGTAACCGCAGTTTCACAACTATGGAATTTTCTATAGCCTGATTGATATGGGGAAAACAGGTTGTTGACATCAGCATATTCATTTAATTGGCAATGAACTACTTTTTCTAGTATTTTGGACAGATAAGTTAGATTGCTAATCGGTCGATAGTTTTTCAGCTCATCAACATCTAAGGTAGGTTTCTTGAGTCCAGGCCTAATAGATGCTTCTTTTAGGGCAGATGGAAACTTTCCGACTCTTAGTGATTCATTCACGATGTAATGGATGATTGGGAGAAGCTCGGGTAAGCAGTTCTTATTTAAATTAGCAGAACTTGTATACTGGCGTTTTAACATATAATTAAGATAAATAAACTAGTAATAAGTTTTGTGGTTTATCCACTGGGCTTAAAGTTTGTGTTTAAGCTACCAAATTTTATTATTATTATTATCTAGAATTCATCATTTATTAACCATTTGCATTAATAATAATATTAATTATTCATCAGTCAAAAAAGTTTAAGTTATATATCTTTTACGGGTTTTGCGGAAAGTCGTGTTAAAGTTGATGCCGTGGTGTCAGTAAAATGGTGCGAATATATAAACATACATATATCGTCTCGCTTTATATATAGTAAGATTTGCATTAATATTAATTATTCATCTACCATTTAATGTCAAGAAATGAAGGGTCGGGTATCCAACTGACAATATTACATTGGCAACCTACCAGATATAATATATTTACATTATTTACAGGGGAACAAAACCCTTTCATCCTCGTGGATTTTCTTGAAATTCAACGAAATCTCCATGAAATTTTGTATCGATCTTTAAGAACTGTAATTAAATGCAATTTGATAAGCATATAATGACCACAGAATGTTGTTTTGATAATCAGTATTATTATATAGTATTGTTACAGTATTATTAAAGGGTCAGTGGACTGAGATTTGTGAAGTTCAAGTTCCTGCACGCCAGGATTGATCAAGGTTGTGTTAGTGAGTCTGGGGGGGGGGGGGGGGGGGGGGGGGGGGGCTATTAACTGTAATGAGTATATCTTCAGAACTTGTACCACTTAATCATTTGCTATTAACACAATATTGTATTTTAAATAATGCTATCAGCTACGTAATGCTTCATGATGTCGTGTCTTTCTTTTATATTATTGCTACTTTTTTATTCTTGCACACACAATATAAATTATATTGCGCAAAGTTTATGCAGCTGCGAATTTTGTGTATGATTTAGAAATAGTTATATTCTGCACTTTTATATTATGCAGTTTAAATAAAATAGTGATGTAATATGGCGGCTATTTTTAGAAACACTTTTGTTAAGATGTGGTGGAAAGTCTTTAGTCCCAGTTTCTGCAGACTAATATATAGAAATAATATCTAATAAAATGTATCGGAAATATTGATTATTCCACAGAATGAGATATCGCTCTCATATAACAAAGGGCTGGAATTTCAGTGGCTAAAGAGCAAAAGTATCCTCTAGTAGCCGATGTTTCAAAGTTCAAGGAAATATGGGAACTCGATTCAGGTTGAAACAGATTAATAATCGTAAGATTAAAATGTAAGTAAAGGTTGGTGTAAGTGTAATTCAAGTAATGATTTAATAAGTTTAACTTAATTATACAAAGTAAGATTAAATTATTAGTACACAGTGCGGTTAAGTTAATATTACAGATTAAAGATTGGTTTAAAGGTTTAAGTGCAAATCTAGTGATGATTTAATAAGTTAAAATTAATTATAGTACACACTACACAGTAATATTAAATTAACAATATTAACGAATAAGTTAAAATTAATTATATTATTAATAGTACACATTTAAGGTTGATTTAATTAACGTAATAATTCTAGTTATGATTTACCTGTTAACGTAGAAGATGAAACCAGCAGCGAGGATTGCAAAGAATGCAGCTATGCTGCAGCCTATTACTATCTGCTTGTAGTTGATATACCTGTAGTTAATTACTATAGTTAATTAATTAATTAGCATCGTTAATTAGCATATATCAGAGGTGTCCTTAGTCAATTATCAAAAATATAAAAAATAATATATTATCATGAGGAAAATCTCAATTGTCTGAAATTTAAACATGCTGAAGAGTGAAGAGTCTTTCCTTTTTCGACAACGTAAAATCTGATATTTAATAAGTGTCCTAAAGAACTGTTCACATAACGTCATTTTCTGGCCCGACCGGTATAATGTCCATTGCATTTCCAACAGACATTTTTACGCGTAATTAAATTTTCAGTCTATAGTTTAATTCAGAAAATCTTATAAGCTTCCGGCCTGTTCGTGATTTTATTTTCTACACAGCCAGACTCTGGCTGTGTCAGAGGGAATCCCAGCCAGGGATATTTAGGATAATCGGGGTATATCAGCTTCTTGCAGAGCTCTACAATCTTTAATTAGCCGGAATACGGCGGGGAGGGGATACATAAATTATTACATGATCCTATTTATAGGTCTTAATATTACAAACTCTAACTTTATGATTGATTTATTAATCAAATATGCAGTATACATCATAGTCTGTCTGTAGTTAATGCCGGATATATTAAGTGAGGATGTTGCAATTGTACTCATGACCAAGTACTTATTAAACCCACATTAAATTAAGTTATAATACAACTGAACTCCTTCTACCGAAATGAGCTTTTGTTCTTCAAGAAATTACAAAAGCGGCGGCTTTCCTTTTAAAGGAATTTCTAAAATAGCAGCAACAAGCTGGTCATCAAGGCCACATGTGACTTTAAATGTAATCTAAACCACTATTCTCACAACTACATCTCCTTTTTCCATTCCATCAAACGGTCCATCCAAGTTGAGACACGGTTTTAAAGCTTCGGAGGTAAAATACAACATGCTTCTGATCAGCATCAAAACACACCCTCGCACAACACCAGAGATCGACCGTGATCCCGTGAAAAATTTCTAGAGCTCTTCTCAAAAGTAATTATAGCACATTTACTTTTTCGACTAAGCTTCAAAATTCTTATCCCGATCGTTTGCTGCAGTCTGCACCGTAATTTTAGGAATTAGAGAATAGAATTGTATTTATTAGATTACTAATCATATCTTTACTAGGTACTGATGATGAAAGAAAATATCATTAATGTTTTATTTAAGTTTTTATTGGAAGTTACTCATTCGTTGTCTGATTGCAGGAAATATTGAAAAACATCATCCTCACTCACCCCCTATGTATTCATAATTGGTCGTCTTGATAAAATTAAAACTCACCTTCCTATACGAATCTTCATGTAAGGGGTAAAAGGGCCGGGCCCAGCTCCAGTTTTCCATCTAAACTTCATCCAATAAGTGGTTGAGGGGTCTAGTCCCACTATTTCAAATTCCTCGTCATCAAACAGATGTCTGGGTGGGATGGTATGTTAGTTGGGGGCTTTTAGTTAAGGGGGTTTTTAGTTAAGGGGTTTTGTGAGTTTGTGTATTGGAGGCAGTTAGGGGGCGTACAAGTTTGGTTTAGTTTGCGTCTAGTTTGAGATGAAGATGGGGTGTGAATCAGTGATTGAAAGGCTTCCGTGCTTAAAAAATATCTAGAAGGGGTGTAAGCCTTTTGATTAAAACGATATTCGGAATTGAAGATATATCAAAATTAGCCATGGTCTGATGTTCGCCGTTCCGTTTTACGTGGCATTTCCGCGGAAATGTCAGATCTTGTTGTATGTGATCGTTTTAATCGTCTGTGCAGCTAAGGCCTCGGATTTAGAATTAGTAACACGAATCTAATCAGTGAATTTGCCGTGAAACGTCAAGCTCACTAGAATTTGCGTTCCAGTATACTGAAAAGGAACGTTGGTATGTTGAATTTTAAGCAATGTACGGGTTTTCTCGATGTTTTATGAGTAAGGTGAGATAAGAAAAGTGTGATAGTTGGCATGGATACAGTAGAGTGATTAGTATAAATGTGTGAAAATGTGACTGAAGATAAATAAACAAGATAAATGCAGCTCAGCTTTGTTAGTACAGCGTGATATGACTAATTTCAAACAACTTTAGAAATAATCGCGTAGTAAGGAGTTTAGTGTTAAATAAACAAAACAGCCATTCAGTGCAAGATACGAGTCATTCCAAGTGATATCAGTTTATGTAACTGAATAAGTAAATAAGTTAATAACAAGTTAACAGCCATACATCATACAATATTTCTAAAAGCGATTCATTCCACGTTTGGGATGCAATACAAGTAAAATAGCTGGAGCGTTCCACAGCAATAGCAGAAGAGGGATCTAGTCTTACCTGGAGACTTTGGATAAGACTAGATAAGACTAGATAAGACTAGGTAAGACTATATTATAACGTAATACAGTAATTAAGTCATACTCTCCAACTAAAGTCTTACCTTAAGTATAATATATCTATTCACCCAGCTACATTTCTGCTATAAATGATGCCGATAGAAAAGTGTTTTCCCCCACGAACACACTTATTATCTACCGTGCCATCAGTTTTAGCACTTAGCAGGGACCTAAATGTAAATAACAGAAAAATGTTTCAAACTATAAGAAGGCAGTATCCATTCCTCCTAACCCTCATAAAAGTACATAAATAAAAACTGTAATATTATAGAGTTATAGTTAAATAAATAAAACAGCTGCATGCAAAGTAGATTAAAACCATTTGCCCTCAAATGTCAAGGCTCTGACTTCTGAGTCAACCTCTCCCTTTAAGTTGCAGTAACCCAAGTAAGTTACTCTTACACTGACGAGCCTGGCCGCAATAACTCAGTTCTATCCTGATACTGAAGAACTTTAACAGCTCAGTTACCACTCAGTTTCTACTCAGTTGCTACCCATTTTACAATAATGTCCTCTATCATTGTCATCTGGACACACGACTAATTGATATTATTCAAGTTGTCACTCAGAATTGCCAGCTATTGCAATTATCATATAACAACTGTACTTGTACCATGTACTTATGACGAATCCACTAAAACAGTCTCAGAAGTGTCCCTCAAGCCTCAACATACCGATAAATGCTCGACTAACTTTCTATTAACGGATTTAAACTAATTCCCCCTCCTTAATCAGGGCAACTTAATGGCAACTTTAATTCCATGAATATTTTCGTAACATGTCAGGTGGTATGGGGTCGTTCACATATTACTGAGTGGAATCTAAAGGAACCTAACGTGTAAGGTGGTATTCGGCAAGTGATGCAGGGTCTACATACCACAAAGGCAAGGGACGGTATCACGGGGTCCCTGGACCGATTATTGAGGAGACCCGGTGGATCTTGGTTGAAGGTACCCTGAGGAGCTGAGGTAACCTTTACATTAATCTTTAAGAGACATTACTTCGTGATGTCGGTCTGTTAATTGGTCGTTTATTAATCTAGTCCAACCGTTTATTAATCAACTCCAGCGAGAACAATGAAACCCGGGTATAGTTATGTTAATCCCTCTCAATGCTCACAAGTTTTACTTGGGCGCGACAAGAATATTCGCATTTATTCTGGACCACCACTGTTTATTCAATATTTCGTAATAAATAAAATTACAACAAAACAAATGTTACACTCTACAGGGGCATGCTGCACGATAAATTTAACTAGATTTAAGAACTTACTTACAACAAATACCCACCTGTTAAGATAAGTATCCATGTCAGGTAGACCATGCTGCAAAAATTCAACAGGTAAAAGAGTTAACTCGGTAGATAGATTTGTACACGTGGCAATGTGTGTACTGCGGACACATATCTTTTCACAATCCGAACTATTTTCATGATATAATAAATAATATTATAATATTATGACAACTTTAACATTGACATTCAACGTTACAAACTAACCGATTACAGTGCGGGGTGCAGATGTTTAGTTTTAGTATTATAAAATAGTTATTATAGTACAGTATTGATACCATTGAATTAAATGGTTTGTTGGTGAAACCCGACACAGCAGCGCAGAATTCCAATGAAACTTGTAAGAACAGCAGGACCATGGCATTCCAGTTTCCACAGAGCTGTATCGGGCTTGGATTGTGCCCAAGGACGAAAGTCCACCCAAGCAGTATCACAACTTAGAGGTGTGCGAGAGAAACTGTTCGGTTCTGATTCTTAAGGGTCGATGGCCCGTTAGGGAAGGAGAAATGTTGGGTAAGGCTAAAATAAAAGTGAGTTCTTAGGATATGGTTACTAGTTAGGGATTTGGTATGGGTGAGGTCGGATTACTGGGGTTATTGATTAGGGTTTTAAAGGCCTCAAAGTTCTGGGTGGGCTTTTGTTCCGTCATTAATGTAATTGGTAATACTGTAGTATATTAACTATTCAGCAGGTTCAGTCATTAGTTAAAGTGTTTAGTTAGTTAGTTTTAAATTATTTATGGGTTTATTAACGCAAATAAGTTAGTTTCAGTTACACGTGCACATATTCGGCATGTTCAACATAATTTAAACAGCTTTTTAAAATTGTATAATTTATAATACATGACGTATATTAATATACAATCATTGCCTGTAATACTTTTTTTTTCAGATTGTCAAATGCATCATCATAATTCAGAAAGTTACGAATCCACGTTACTGGCAAACGTTTATGGACACGTTCATTTGAGTTTGAGGATATTGGTAAACAAAAATGATAGCGTTTTCAACGATAGTGGCTTAATTTTGACATCTATTAACTTAGCACGTTCAGAAGTTCTGAACATTAGCCACGTAACCCATACTCCCATATGCACTGCTCAGAAAGAAAATCTATTGTTGTTAGGCACTATAATGGTTCAAATGTCACATTTTGTGTGACTTAGTTAACTGCAGTTGTCTAATTATAATTACTTGGCCTAAAATATAGTAGATTAGGTCAATCTAACAATTATGATACAACATTGGTTAAAGGGCACGGATCAAACGGTTACAAGGCAATATTTGGGTAACTTTGTCACACTCAGAATACCAAACCTCTATTCTACTGTGAGGTGTCCTCAAAAACCTTTTAACTCATTATTTGATGGTTGATCTACCAATCATAGCCCTAACATATGTTGTTTCGAATAGTTAGCTAATACAGGCACTTGGTTATTGGGAAATGAGGTTAATTCTGTCACAATATATGGAATTTTAAATTTTGGGCGAATTATTTATATCCGATTTTGGTTTGAAAGGCGGGAAAACTTTACATGATGACAATGTAGTTGATGCAAGTTAAGATCAGTTGATGTTTACATTGTCACAAAAAATGATACGAAATCGTAAATAGGTTAAAAACAATGATTATAGAATGAAATAGTCTCTTATAATAACTCTTATAATAACTGATGTGACAAAGTAAACATGTCTTGCCTCTATTTTGAAGATCTATAACTCTATAAGAATTCAGCATTCTTTCAGAAACGATTGGTCGAATATTGTCCAGAACATCAGAGCTCAAGTTTAACAATTTTAGATTAATTTGTCAAAAACGCTGAAAATGTGACAAAATTAACTTTCCCTGCCCCAACAATATCAAGATAGTGTGTTAAAATTGGCATATGATGCTTTATTGCCTATATTAATCGATCCAAACTACGAAAAAGATCTGTTAATCTGATGACGATTACCTAACTCGTATAATAACTGATGTGACAAAGTAAACATGTCTTGCCCCTATTTTGAAGAGCTATACCTCTATTAGAATACTATGTAACTTTATCATCAATGAACTAGTTATTTTGCCAGCAAGGAGCTAACAGAGTTATAATAATTTTTTGTGACGAAATTACCCTATTTTTGACCATGTTGCGGTAGTTTAATTGTGACACTATTAACATATTACCACCCGATAATGATTTATGTGACTGGTGCGTGGTACTAGCAGTGTTGTTTGATCCATAGTACGTAATATAAGGGGTTTAAGCTGGTATATCATTATTTGTTCAATTTCACACATGTTCAGATATCATCAAGATTATGTGACAAAGTAAACTTGTTTGTGCCTTCTGTGTTTTAATTCCTTACGACTATATGATATAATAACAATTCCTAGCACTTCCAGGCCATCAAATAAACCTACACTACTCAGCATTGCTTATCAGGGTGCCCTAAACATTCTTCACATGTTTTCTTAAATGTGTGACAGAGTAAACCTGAGTGCACCATCTAACGAAAAAACTCGTCAAATATGTAGGTAATGGTCATATGTACCCATCCAATCAACTGGACACTCAAAAATTTGGTCAAAAACGGCAGTAAGGGGTCCATATTTACTCCGTCACATGTTTATAGTGTGACAATGTAACCATTTCCGTGCCGGCCGTATTTAAGCGATATCTTATCAGCTGATTAAGATATCGTTAAGTGACAAAGTTAGCCTAGAGGATGAGACGATTATCCTAACCATCAAGGGTTTGTGTAATTTCATAGTGTGACAAAG